GCAAAAGCCCATCCTGCCATTTTTTCAATTTCTGCGGAAGCTGTCCCTTTTGCCTATTTCCTGCTGTTAGAAAGGACTCTGGTTAAACAGAGTATGTATACAAGTCTCCTTTTAGTAGGTCTACCAATGCAGGTATCTCATCGCAGTCCACATTCTGCTGAGAAGGCGGAAAAGGATGGACCCTTACTGACGCAAGCTTCTGGCAGGGGTGGGCTCAAGAACATCGGGGGAGTAGATATATCTCAGGAAGTTCAAGCAGTCCTTGCCTAGGGTCTGGCAGGCATCTCAAGTCTAACACATCCATAACTGAACGTGTGACAAACTATCACCTTCCCCCCCATCATGCTGCTCTCCCAGTTTCTTCCTTTTCAGTAAATGGAACCACTATCCATGCAGTTACTCAAGGCAAGATCCTAGGAGCAACGCTTGATTCTTCCTGTCTCCCTCACTACCATCCACAGGAGCTGTCATTTCATCTCCAAAATGCACCTCAAAGTTCCACCTCTCTCCATACACTCCGTCCCCACCCTGGGATGAACCTCCAGCCTCTCTTCCAGGGCAGCTGCGATAGTTCCCTAACAGCTCCTGCCCTCCTCCGCAGAGCAGCCCAGGTGACTTTCTAAAGACAAAACGGGCCATGCCAGTACCATCCTCAAAATCCTTTTGTTGCTTCCCTGCAGTTTTAATAAAATCCAAATTCTTTACAGTGACCTAAACTGCCTGCCGGAAATTATTCAAGATTACTACGATAACCCATGCATTCTCAGTAGGGGACAGTACAGCCCCAAGGAAGTGAAAATTAGTTCTGGAGGGGAGGAGAGGGAGTGAAAAAAAAATCTTACTCTTTCCAATGTATAAATAACAGGGTATATATGAGCCCTATGGAATTATAATAAAGCTTGTGTGGGGATGATTAGAAAAACAGAGTGTAAGTGAAGGTTGAGAAACTAAGCTAACCTCGTCTCAGGCTCCTCTTCCCCTTATTTACTAGACCAGGGCCACTCAGTATGGTAGGCCCTGGTGACTTGTGAATACTGAACACTGGACACGGACCTAGTGTAAAAGAGAAAGCAAAGTTTTAATTGTAATTAAGATTTTGATTTCCAAAGCCACATATGGCTAGTGGCTACCATATCACCCAGCACAGCTCTAGACACTGATGGGCCTCCTTTTGATTCAAGGAATCCAAGCCCTTTGCACATGCTAACTGTATCTATCAGGATACTTCTGCTATAAATTATGAAAATTCAGAGCAGATTAAACATAAATCCAGAGGAGAGCGAATCCAGGGTCGGCTAATTCAACAGTGCGACACCCTTATCACAGATCCGGGTTCCATTTTCCTTCACTGCCACCCCTGTTGTCTCCGCACTACCCTCATGCTGTTCCCCTAATTGTCACAAGACAGCTGCCACGGTGCCAGGCATCAC